AGTGTTTTGTGTTAATTAATGTAGGCACAACAAGACAGGCAAGATAATGTACTACTAAGGGCAGAAAATGAGAACCTCAAGAATGAGAATTATCGGTTGCAAGCAGCACTAAGAAATATTGTGTGTCCAAACTGTGGAGGTCCAGCCATGCTGGGAGAGATGGGGTTTGATGAACAGCAGCTTCGAATCGAAAATGCCCGTCTCAAAGAAGAGGTACGTAGCTTTTCAAGATCTCTCTCTAGAGTTTTTCTTGTATGGAAAGTGATAGAAAATAGATTGCTTTTCAAGTTAAGTATGCCATTGTGATCTGCATGTTAAAATTCTTGTTATATTTTTTACCTAAGAAAATACTAACTTTGTTTTCTTGATGATCGAAATGTTTCAATCAGTTCGAGCGCGTATGCTGTCTTGTTCAACAATACAATGGAAGGCCAATCCAGGGAATTGGACCGAATTCTCTCCTTGCCCCTTCCTTGGACTTGGATATGAGTAATTATCCAAGAAAATTTGAGGAGCATTGCTCTGATATGATCCCTCTACCTTTTATGCCTGAAAATCCCCAGTTCCCGGCAGGGAATGTCCTGATCTTGGAAGAGGAAAAGGCTTTAGCTGTTGAATTGGCAATGTCATCTATGGATGAACTCATGAAAATGTGCCAGACGGGCGAGCCACTATGGATCCTAGCAACGGACACTGGGAAGGAAGTACTGAATGTAGAAGAGTATGCAAGAATGTTTTCATGGTCTATAAATCTCAAGCATCAGGAATTCAGGGTCGAGGCTACCCGGGGCACTGCCGTCGTCATTATGAATAGTGTTACCCTGGTTGATGCATTCTTGGATGCTGTAAGTCTTTAGTTTCTCTTTATTTGTTGAACTAACTTTGAAAATGACGTTTGGCATCTAAACAAATTACGTCAACCTAAAGTGTGTTGGGAATTTACTTAATCATACACAATGAAAAATAAAATAATTTCAGTTTCCACACTTTATGTTTCAATAGATAATGTGATAAGAATAATACATTTTCTAATTTCTACAAACTCTCTTGCTATTTTGGAATACAAACAATTACGAT